TATGACTTTGGCACACACACTCTCCCACAGTGTTAAATAACGTCCCAGTTACCTTGAATAAAGGAGTAAGCGCTAAAACAAAAATATTTTACAATAACCTAATAATTCATCAAAATAAAAAAAAACAAGACAAATACTATTGAACAGAATCAATTATTGGTGATCAACAACAAAACTTACACTACTTGTCTCTCTTTCCAGAAAATTACACATCTAGCTATACAATCTGAAATATAATCAGTTTTCTGCAGTCAAGGCTGCACCGCAAGAACATAATCTCTCAGTAAAAAGTTTCTGATCTTTCTGACACTAACTGAACATCTAGAAACTTCGTCCGTAGGCTCTAGTTCATCCCAAGACTGAACTGTATGTATAGGTACATGTCTAACTGTCCGTAATTCTATAGTCTAAGCTCTGCATGTTTCACTATCAAAATCTGCATCATTAATACTCTGTTCTGTGGAGTTGGCGTTCCTTTTAGATGATCATAATCCTTCATAGTCAGACTGATCAATATCCTAAACTATAGTCTCATCCAAGGCAATATGTGTTGTATCATGGACTAATGTAACAGCATTATCCACATCTAAGCACTCCGTAAATGGATGACCCAAGAGATTACTGACGAGTCTGAACACAAGGTTTGTTTCTAGTTCTAGAAACCTGTACTTCTTTAACTCTTGGTGTAAGAGTAGGTTTATTTCAACTATATATGCAACTGGTAGTAAAAGGTTCCTTTAATGAGTGCAGCTCCGGCCATCGCCCCTCTCCTTCTGGACAGGAAAAACAAGTAGTTCCGTGTTTGGCGAATTAATGGTGACATACACGTCTTCCTACCATCTGTCGACAAATTTGTGTTTGTCATCATAAGCAACAGTCGTAACTATTGCATGGTCTTCCTTCTCAAATCTTGTAGGTTAGTATTCTGTTAAACATAAAAAATGGTGACTATCAAGTTCCTTCATGGCTAATTCAGTTATAGGTATGGACTCAGGATGCGATGTGTGCCTTATAGTTTGCTTTATGATATGTGTTTAAGTTACTTTGCGTTCCTAGAAGGGTTCTATAGAATCGGTCTGCCATCCAGTGTTCCGTTGAGATATGGTGGTGTTCTAGATTTGTGTGTTCCAAGTATCTGGTCTACTCCTTGTTCACCTTGCTTTCTTGATCAGCATCTAGATCTTGGTGTTGTCAGCTTGTTATACCATAATGAATAGAGCTTCAGATGTTGTTTTGGCTGTTTGCTGTCTTGTGTGTACTTCTTTAACATAACGACGACTGAAATTATCTGTTATCACTAAGGTATTTTGCATTCCTTTTTTCGTTGGTGCCTAGATAATAAAATCTAACTATACCATTGGTTGCGACAAAGTATTGTTAATCATGGGAGTTCGATGTTGTTTCTTCTTTCTCTTTAAACACCAGTTCCAGTGCTGTATCCACTCCTCTGTGTCTCTAAGTATGGATGGTCTATTAAGTTTATCGCGCACTAAAGATTTAGTTTATTCACATGACAAGGACGGCGCATTTTATCATTTAGAACTTCAAGAACTATATAGGAACATGTATTGCTGCTAAAACTAACACTGTCTGGTTTACCTATCATATTTGGTTAAACGTACCTCCGTATACATCACCTATAATCGTCCACTGACCAAAGAGTCTTTAAAATGGACCAGTCAATATTGTCTTTTATCTGCATAAGTGTCACTTGCGTTAAGCAAGCAACAACCAATCAATCTGCATATCCATATCAATGTTGGCTGTATCATGAATGTCCGACATCATTGCTTATGTATCAAAATAGGGTACTGACATAACTCGGCGAATGACCTTGATGGACTACTTTGATTATCTGTTTGGTGTAACCTAGGCAATGTATCTTCATCATAATACTAGTAATTCTTTTCTGGACGGTTCAAAATCTCGAAACGGTAAAGCAGCTTATGATGATGACTATCTGTGACATGTCGAGTCTAGATTTGCAGTGTTAAAAACATAAATGGGAGGTTGTACACTGGAAAGATGCCCATGAAGGTTATCATTATTTTTTTCTATGACTGCCAATCTGAAATCCAGAAATATATTGTGAGCTTTATTAGTCCCTCGACTGTCATAAGCAATGACCTGTTATATGACCGTAATGCTACTGATAATTATAATACGTTATTTCAAAATCAAATACAGCTTACAGGCATAAAGTACTGCTCTTAATCCAAGATTTCTACCGTTTGTACTCAACTAAAATGGCTTCAGATGGTTTGCTTAGGCAAGTATCGGAGATGATGAGAATCTCTTTTTCAATTGGTGGACAGATGTTTCTTTCTACTTGTTCTTTCCTTATTGTTTTTTCTCTCTCTTTTTTTTGTTTGAATTGGCAATAAATCTGTTAATGGCCTTTTAATCTGGATGAGCATCTCCGTAATTTCCCGCGAAATCAATAAACTGTTCACTTCTTCCGGTGTTTTTGGATTTTGCCAAATGAGTACACGATCTGTCCTCTCTATGTCTGTCTCATCAAAATTCTCTTAAACTTTATGGCACACATACTTGACACGAAGTAGAAAGAAGAAGAACTTTCCTGTTGGTTGCTTCTTATCGGTGTTTCTGATTCTATCAAATACTTGTTTTAATAGTTGAAAATGTTCCTCGCATGTGTTTGAAAATATAATAATGTCATCGATGAATATGTTACAGATGTGCATGTGAGGATCATGTAGACGACCTTGCATCAGCCGTTGATAGTTGCTGGAGTGTTGGTTAAACCGAATGGCATGCGGTTATATTTTTAGAAAATCCAAGCGGACCAACTTTAAAGACTCTACTTGCTTTCTTCCAATATTCCAATCTGGTGATTTCCATTTTACATATCGATCACTGTAAACTATGATTGGTTTCCTGATATACCATCGAACTTATCTTTTATGTGAGATAGAGCATAAACGTCTTTCTTGATCTTGTTGTTCAGCGGCCAAAAATCCACACACTGTCTCAGAGAGTTGTCCTTCCGAAATACTTATACTGAGATGAATAAGTATGGACTAAAAGACTAACAGATGAAACCAACTCTATCTAGTTGATCGATGTGACTCTGTATGTTAAAAAATCCTTCTGTGATATTGTTGAAGTGGTGTTGAATTCTCCAGCTCTATTTCGTGTTTCACCAGATGAGTATGGCCAGCATCATTTTTGCGCTTAGCAAGATTTCTCTGTAACAATGTTTAAGTGATACAATATTAATTTGCTCAGCAATCTTTACCGGGTCTAGAAATTGTGTTGAAGCGTTATCTCTATCGCTTAATTGCTGATCGTCGATGGTGACATGCTACATTTCAGCAACAATTCACTTAGGTCGAAGATAACTGTTCTTGTACTTACATATATGATATCAGCGTTTTTTTGTTTTGTGAATTGCGTCTTGATAATTAGTCAAAGAATGATATTCATGTCTGATGGTATGATTGAATGCTAAGTTTGTTGTACTAAATTAAGTCTTCTTGTGTATGATAAGTCAAGCCTTTGTCGGTGTAACCAGAAAACTTATTTTACTGTTGGATTGAATGAAAATGGTCCTTTTTCTCAGAGATTATGACAGGTTATATGTTGTTAGTGCAATGCCGGTTAGTCGACTGTTCTCTATAGAAATCACTGTGTATTAGTCCGTCAGTTTTTCTATGTCGCATCATGTCAAAGTTGCCTCAACCGATTTCCATAATTGTCATGCACATTACAGAAGGTCCCTTTACGATTGGAAAAAAATCGTGGTTAAAACTTACCTACACATTTACAGTGCCTAACAAATTGAACTCCTTATTTATGAGATAATTTTCAACCAAAACAAATTATCAAGTTTCAAAAGATGTAAACAGTAAATATACTCCCAAGTACACATATTACTATACGTCAGTACACAAAAGTCAAGGTCAAATAACAATATCAACATAATGCCTCATATACATTTACCACATACAATGTCAATAAAAACAAGCATTGCATATACAAAATACAAAACACTATATGTATACCCCTGACGGCGTCAGCCCGGTAGGTTATTTCCAATTTACACGATGGTGTAATGGTCAATGCAAATTGATACCTTTATATAATTAAGAAAGGAGGCCTTCTAGGAATCATCACACAAATAAACAAAAACAAACATTGACAACAAAGAACACAAACATGTATGACTATCCGGTGTAATGTTCAACAGTAACAACAAAGTGTTTTCCAGTTTTATCAGTAATCAGTTCGATTCCCATCCGGGCCAAACCAAACACTTGAAAATTGATATTTGCTGCTTCTACGCTAAGCACTCGGCATTTAAGAGTACGAGCAAGTCTGTTCGGCTCTGAGTTAGAACAACGTCTTCGGGTAAGGGGACTTGTCCACCTGCGCACTGTTACCTTGAACTTGACCGTTAAAAATGCGACTCAGAGTGTCTGTTTAGTGCAAATCCGGGGTTCATATTCATATCTCATTCACATTTTCTCGTCCTGATATGCATGTCATATTCCATCACCATTTAACGAAGGCAAAGCTTGAAAAAACGGAGCCCGTTTACTCTTATGCATCCGCAAAAATTGGGGAATTTACCGGAAAATTACCAAGCAGAAATCACTTATACAAAGTCCGCGTCTTCGTTGATCATTATCAAATGTGATACCAATTAATGACAATATAAAACCAATGTATCGTATGCTTTAATACTATTATAAGTTTACATTCTGTTATTAAACAATTCAATATTTAGATTTGGATTCCTGCACCAAGTTTAAATATTTGTTAAATGTTTAAAAGTGAGGTCTAACAAAAGAAAGTATGAAATTGAATACTGAAGGCTGAAATTAATGGATAAAATATAATAAATGATGCAACTAAATAATGAAAATACTATATTGAATAATACTATTCTTTATTTTGTTATTTTAAAACGCAATATTACACATGATGTGTTTCATGTAAATAACTGCATACTTACGCCTGAATCCTATTTTTAACAGCTGCTGGAAATAATACCGCGTTTACCGTCTCCAGTTGTAAAATATTCACAGATGACAAAAAGAAAATCAGAAATGTGTTAACAAATGGGTAAGTAATGAAATATTTTTATTTTACTACAACTTCATATAATGCATTTATTATTATTTAGATTTTTTGCAAAACCCTTGCCGTCAAGTTAACTGTATACTTTGACACATTGCATCGCACATATTTATTTTTAAAAAAAAGTGCATTTTTATACAGCCATGTAAAGAAACACGGGTGTATAAACATGGTTCCTAATCCAGCAAATAGTTAACAGATTCTTAAAACTTTGGAGAGTTGGCACATTAAAAGTGTTCGATTTTCTTGGTCTTTGTTTAAACTACCACTTTAAAATATTCCATGGTAGGACTGTATTGATGAATTATCAGTCCATGTAAAATTCATGCAATTTAAAAACAAAATATTCACATGAATGAGGCCTTCAAATTTTTTTTTTTTTATTATTTGAATATCTGTTGAGTATATATTATATGAGTAATGGTTTGACTCGAATGATACAAAAAGGCACTGCAAAGGTCATGGAGTTATCACCCTTTACACAATACATAAATCCATTAGATTTTTATTTCATATCAACATACGATATAATAGAAATCATAGGTTCATTTTGAAAGAACTTTATATTCTCAACAAAATATCAAAAATAATGATGTGTCGACTTTCCATCCGTGAATCACTTTTTGCGTGATTTTAAATGGAATGGTACAGACACAAAACATGGTGAAATGGGCATTCCACACTGAAATCCAAGTATTTTTAACAATAATTTGTGACTCTCTCAGTGAAGGATCCAAGTCGTAAAGGGATGACAACCCCCTCTTCCTTTGATCGCCAAATTAGTTTTGAAAATGTTTTCACATTATAGTGGTAGGTCAATGATATTTGGTATGCAGCTGTTTTAGCATTGGCATATCTCATTTTTTAAAGATTATTTGGCATCGCCCCCTCAGTCATGGTCTATTGACTTTGAAACTTTTGCTATGTTTAGGTGTATTTTAGTTTGTGATTAGGTCAGTTTATGGAAAACCTATAGTGGTAGATCAATGATATATGGCATGCAGTTGTATGACCATTGGCATATCTCATTATCATGGAGATTGTTTGGCCATGTACCTTCAGTCATGGTCTATTGACTTTGAAACTTTTGCTATGTTTAGGTGTATATTAGTTTGTGATTAGGTCAGTTTTTTGCATTAGTTAAATGTTAAAGTATTGCTATTTTAATTTCAACATTTGCATTTTACTATCAAAATAATAAAAAGGCGAGACATATCTCTGTGACAGTATATATTTTTTTATTAAATTGTTGAAAATGTCTTTTTTTGTGTCCTTTCTTGTTTTTCTTTATTGCTATTCAATGTATGATACTTTCAAAGATTTCAGATTTAAATGAAGAAAATTAAACATCTTTTCATCCAAATGCTTCTACGGTGCATCATATTATTTTCGGTTTCATCTTAATTAACTTTGATGCATGGACTTCACTGGAGGTATATGAAATTCTTCATGGGAGCAATTGATATAGGTATCTTAATTAGGTGATTGAATTCTCTTAAAAGGTCATATAAAGAAAAGAAAATTACCTACTGTGGAAATGAATATAACAGACATCACTTTTATCACGTTCAAACACTTAGTCTATTTTGGTTGAACTCAAAGTATGTAGAAGGCGCTAGTTAATCTGCATGGTTAAAGGTACTGATATGGCATGGAGTCGTTGAAAAATAATCTTAAACGTGTCTTTTCACACTTTTTGGTGTTTGCAATCATCGTTTTATATATTTTACTGTTCAAACTTTTTGGTCATTAACGTAAAAGATGAAGACACTTGCAGAAACATGTGTTATGTGTACGGTGATAATACCACACGTGTTTTAAACTCTTCTTCCAAATTTTTGTGAGTTTTGACATCAGAAAAGCAACATTTTCGAAATTAATACAAAAAGTAAAGAAATTTTCAAAGGTTCAAGCAGTAAATTTTAATGAAATAAAAACACAAAAACTTCAAAAACACGAAACATTAAAAGCTAAAAGTAAGAAAAACGCGGCCAAATATTTTTGACTTGAAGGTCTTTGTCAACGGTTGTTGAACAGACCATAGGAAGGCGGGATTTCATTGATTTGTGTTTATTTAAAGAAAAATATGTTTATACCTTTAAAAAAGTTTTAAGTTAATTAAGAATGAGTGGCTGATATTTCTTAGAAATTTGTAAAAATTATAAAAATTATAAGTAAAATGAAAGTCTTTATTTTAAAAAAGTGCATCCCTTGCCCCCCCTCCTTCCCTTCCGTTTAATTCTGGGACTGCCCTAAACGATTAATTCAAGAAATAATAATAATTAAGAAAATAAATGGTCATGATCTACAACTACGTTATAGCAAATCAATCTATATGTTGTTACTATATTTCAAGGACAAATGCATATATACATTTATTATTGTTTTCAGCTGCGGAACAGGTTTCCCTTTCAAAGTAACAGAAGGTTTTACTATGAGAGGAACTATAGGGAAAAGTCCGATTTTTAAGCTATTCACTTTAAAAAGAAGACACCGATTAAACATTGCGTGCAATTTCTTCGAATGTGAAGGAAATTGTGATGGGGTAAGCAACGTTTATTTTGCAGTCTTTTAAACATAATAATAAGTTCTAAATGAGAACGAATACCGCATGATTAATTTGGTCAAATCCGTCAAAATGATTTGTGTATTGAGCGAACGATTAACACATTGCACAATTATGAATTATGTGTCCATAGGTAACTACATTGAAATACGGGGCAACTTTGCTATTATCACTCGGTTAAATCCGTTGTTTTTATTCATGCAGTTGTTTTATTTTTCTTTTTTTCTTCTGAAATCCAAAGTATGTACGTTAGCCGATGACAACATAAAATTATTCTTTCGATTAGCCATCAAAACAACACACTTGTTCTGCATTTAAAAACATTTTACTCATGAAACAATGGACACCAAATTAAATGTTCGAATATACAAAGACAGATAATTATGATAAAACACTGTAATAACTTTCAAATTCAGCTTAAAACCAGCTACGACATTTTGAAGTTGTTAAGATGGTGGCATCATTTGGCTTTCTGGGGTTTAAATGAACCATTGTATAGTAAATATCGAAATGCCTCACAAAATCTTATCACACACTATATGTTACATTTTTGGACAAGATAATGCTGCATGATATTAATTCCCATATGTATGAGCCAATCAGTCAGGATTTTGTATAAATTTTCAATTTGTCTGGGTTTTTTTCTGTCGATCATGACTGGAGAACATGAAAAACAATTGTCAATAACACTGCGAAATTTGTCAACCACAAGGTGTCGAAATACAGTTAGCTTAAAATCCATTAAATGATAGCATACTTTTAAATACTTATGGATTTTGTCAAGGATTACGCGAGTCAATTGGCAAAACATGAAACGGGATAGATGCTAATTCTACATGGATCTAGGCTGTTATGTGGTTGCTAAAATACTATAAGACGAACTTTTCTCGTCACTTGGTTCCGTCTTCGTCGTCTGTAAACTTTTAGAAAAATTCTCCTCTGAAACTACTTGGCCAAGTTTAAAAAAAAAACTTGGCCACAATCATTCATTGGGGTATCTTGTTTGAAAAATATGTCCGGTGACCCCGCCTATCAACCAACATGGCCTGAGGGGCTCAAAATAGAACAAAGCAGACCTAGGTCTAGTCTACCACCGACGAAAAAAATTTCTTAAGTTAACTTGGAAAGCAGTCAAAAAGTCTGCTCCAAGTTAATTTTTTTATGACTGCACTCATCTGTATCATTTTTTATTAATACTAGCTTTTGTTTTATATTTGACGTCCCCATCTCCAAGTATATGATTTGGTGCGAGCTTGACATACTGTAGTGGCATTTTTCTGCTGTTAGCGAATGTATGTTGACCTATAGCTGTCGGTGTCCTTTAATATTGTCTGATTAACTTAACATACATACACCCCACATATCCTCTTATCTATATCTACAACAGTATGCTTAAATGTAAACCCCATTTTATAAACAGCTTGATCAAGTTTTTAGATATTGACAATTTACTTAAGAACGCAACCCATTCTCCAATAACACTTAACGAAGAAGAAACCGTGAACAATGATGGGGCTGTGTTATGGTTCTTTTGTAATTTTAATCAAAAATGAATGTACTAATTCTAACAAAAAATGATGAGAAGCTGACATCATCGTAATGCTTTAATTTTTTGTCATTGGTACCTATTTGTTGTATATTTTTTTTAAAATAGTCGATATTGTTGGAACCAATTGTGTTTCTCTTCTCGCCAAATAACTATTTTATTTGTATAAGACAGACTTCTCTCACTTGGCACATTGAAGAAAAATAAACAAAACAGATTATTATCCTTTAACTTCACGTTCCCCCCTTGTAGATGATGTCCTTTCACTGAATTGTATAAATTTAGGCGACTAGATTTATCTCATATATATACAATACAATTATACATGTAGGATACAACAGAAACCAACATGTTTGCTTCATAAACATTGACTTGCATAAAGAAACCGACAGTAAAGGTCTGTTAAGACCTTATTCTTTACAAATAAATAGATTACTCCAACTCTCACATTGTTGGTTTTCCAATTTTATGTAGCAACAATTCAGCACATGTATATCGAGTACATATCTTCCAGTTGATACGAAATTCAAGGGTGTGTTTCACTATCTAGTTTTACTTGTTGGGACATAAGTATCAACAAGGAAAAGCTACTTAACCAAAGTTTCTTAATATTAAAAGTGAACTATAGCCTTATTTTAGCATTTTGAGGACGCTATCGTTATATGTTAACCGTTATTAAATATCTTCGTCATAGAAGACTTCGGACTATTGTCTTCTTTTTTTGTTTTGGTGCATGTAGCTAAAATTATACCTTCCTTTAATATCTGTTGTCTTATATAAACTAATGCGCCTGGTCGCTGAGTTTTATTAACATGACCAACACAGGAACTTATTCTGCCGAAGCACCTCTGCTCTGCTCGTCCCTGTTTTTTTTTTTGTTGGGTAAGCCAGTTCGGACTTCTGTTATATCATATGGTCTATGTTGTGTCTTTTTTCCTTTATGCCATTGTATTCACTGTCCTGGTTCTTTGTGGATTCTTTTGCTTTGCATTATATTTGCATATAGATCGAGATGCCAGTAGCATCAATATAACTGATCCATTGGTGTGATCTTACTTCCTGTAACCGCGTTAACTCTGTTGTACATAATATTTCATTACTGTCATCTTCCATGTCAAATGTCCCTCATAATTCGTCCAATTTACTATTTTCTGTATAAGCCTGAGATAAAGCTGTTTTGCGTCTATAAAATTTCATATTTGTATTGTTATTTCAGAGTTCCTGCAAAAAGACATAATAACTGTAGAATTGGAATAGTCGGCTGTTTAAATAAAATATATTCTTCGTAATATATTTTTGTTCTTTGTATGTAATTCGTATGTTACACATTTTTATTTGTATATGTGCTATAATGTTGCATGCAACTATATTAAATATTATGTTTAAGAATACAGCAGTTTACCGGACCAGTGCGAGCTTTTATCGTCAATAAACGCCCTCGTCTGTTGCAAACATGCAAAGAAAACCAATAGGCCAATAAATGCAAAACATGGCCAGCATCATTCAAAGGAGTCTAATTTCATAATTATTTTCGATGATGTGTACCATTATTTACCGATTTCTTTATATTTTCAATCCAGTAGAAATACGTTTTACCTATATATGGTTTCTGGACTGAAATATTTCATGAAAATGACAGCGTTGTTCCTCCGTTGTCAACCCTCTTGTAGTAACCGAGGTGATAATTGATTTCTAAACATAAATTGATTATATTGGTTGCAGTTACAGACACGATACCATATTGGTGTCGTTTAAGTTTATCTTTTTTTTTTGTCCTACTTACGGCAATCAGACTTTGAAAGTTTCAAGAAAAAGAATTGAAACTACAGTGTATTGTCGGCAAGGTTACTTGCTTATGATTAGAGGCACAACAAAATAAACGATTGTAAGTATATTAATTCAAACATGACAAATATAGACCATTTTACTACTGTCTTGGATAATGCATTGATTTTATTCTTCATTGTGTAACAACTTAATAAAGGTTCAATTTGTTTTTGGTAATAATTGCAATTTGTTTATTTTACATCAAAGGAAAAAAATTCTAAAAATGCAAATGATTGGAAGAGGTCATTCCAATTTCCCCTGAATTCATTATCCACCAGTCTTTTCTTAATTTCACAGTCTCGCAGCACGCACCATGTATGTACTTTGAAATTCTAAAAAATGCATGGCTTCTAAACAAATTATAAATACAAAAAGATGGCCTTAAACCTCTATTTTGTCAGATTTTGACAAATTTATAGTATTTATTCAATAAGTAGGGAATGTGTCCATGGGACACAGATGATGCCCCCGCTTGCATATCATATAAAGATATAAAGGGACATAACTGAAGAACGGTAAAAGTGACGCTACCTAAATTTGCACTTGATCTGAGGTTTGTGGTAATAAGCATTGTGTATAAGTCTCATAACATTTGGTTGAGGCAAACTAAAGTTAGAGAACGGAGACGAAAAATTCAGCAATTTTTATGTTTATAAAGGGGCATAACTAAATAACGGTAAAAGTGACGCCACCCAATTTCGAACTTGATCTGTATTATGTGGTAATAAGCATTATGTATAAGTTTCATAACATTTGGTTGAGGCAAACTAAAGTTAGAGAACAGAAATGAAAAATTCAGCAATTTTTCCATTTGTAAAGGGCATAACTCTATAGAACGGTTATAGTGACGCCACCCAATTTCGAACTTGATCTGTGTTTTGTAGAAATAAGCATTGTGTATGAGTTTCATAACATTTGGTTGAGGCAAACTAAAGTTAGAGAACGGAAACCAACTTTGGGACGTACGGACAAGGGTAAAACTTAATGCCCCCTCCGCTACGGCGGGGCATAAAAAATTTATGAGGACATTCTTATCAAAAACTAAAACTCTAATGGAATTAAAACTTTATGTTGTCTTTCAGATACAAATTAATTCGTTTTTTTCGTATGGCCTAAGCCCTTGACGGAGTCAAAAAGCGAGACATAGGTATGCTGTTTCCGGCGGCGGCCGACGCCAACAATGTATTAGTTTGTGAATAGGTCAGTTTTGTGGGGAACCACTAGTGGTAGGTCAATGATATTTGGTATGCAGTTGTATTAGCATTGGCACATCTCATTTCCATGGAGATTATTTACCCCCGCCCCCCTCAGTCGTGGTCTATTGACCTTTAAACTTTTGCATAGTTTACATGTATTAGTTTGTGATTAGGTCAGTTTATGGGGAACCACTGGTGGTAGATCAATGATATATGGTATGCAGTTGTATTAGCATTGGCACATCTCAATTCCATGGATATTATTTGGCCCCCGCCCCCTCAGGCATGGTCTATTGACGTTGAAACTATTGCATAGTTTACAGGTATTAGTTTGTGATTAGGTCATTTTATTGGAAACCACTAGTTGTAGGTCAATGATATGTGTTATGCAGTTAAATAAGCATTGGCACATCTCATTTCCATGGAGATTGTTTGGACCTGTACCTTAAGTCATGGTTCATTGACTTTGAATATTTTGCATAAATTACATGTTAAAAGTATTGCTATTTTAATTTCAACATTTGCATTTTACTATCAAAATAACAAAAAAGCGAGTCATATCTCTGTGTTAACAGTTTATGGTTTGATACGTCCGTCCATGCAAAATTTCACTGGAATTTGCAACGACCAGAAAAGATATATAAATTTCCGTTTAAATGTAAAATAATAATTGGGCCACCTACTTTTCTTTTACGGTATTATACATCATTCAAACTGTTGCTCTATAAGGTGAAAATGTATCACAAAACGACGACGGAATAAGCGTAACGTCATCCGTTGTAAGGCGTAAAACGTCGATTTTTTAAAACGTTTTCTTCACTACCAACTATGGATTATTCATGTATCATTTTTTTAGAAAAATCTATGCATTTCTAATTAAAGATTTCAAAATTTTAAGACAAATTTATGAACGTTTTCGTCGATTTAATGTGCTTTCTATACAAATGTAAATCTTTTGTGAAAGAGTACATTCAGTAAAACAGTAATATTTCAGAGAATGAAAGGGGTAAATGCATTAATTTTTCGGTTTTTTAGTTATTATAGTTCAATGAGCCAAAGTTGTATGCAAACTTTTACCAAAATCTGTGACATAAACCATTTACTGTACATTGATCTGAACACTAGTGTTAGCCTTATGTTATGAAGTGAAATTAAACTCTTAATATAAGCCCCTTTTCAGACTTGGTTACTGCACTGTTCACCTTTATGACTATGGAAAATTGCAAAATGGACTATTGATTCATGTTGTATAGTTGTTTGTAGCAGTAGTATTTATTGAATGTCTCAATATCAGTCGGCATGGTCACACTGTATATTTATTTCTTTTCTTTTTTCTTTTGGGATTTTACTTTATTTGTTATGACTCTTTTAGCTGGTGATACCATTCCCTGTGGTCTTTAAACTGCCCAGGTACTACACCCGCTTTGAAATTTGGCAAACACGAGTCAACATTATGCAAAGGAAATCTATACAAATTAAGAGATATTAGTTATTTTTTATCAGTTTGTCGTAATTCTCATGTAGTAAACCGTCAATGGATTTCTGAATTTATTGTAGAATTCAAACGCAAATTAAATTTCTAACCAAAAATCCCACAGTAAGCCGAAAAATATCCTGATAGCAGATGCGACAAAATGAAAAATTAAATGGAAAACACGACAAACAAAATCAAATTGAACATTATTAAGAGAATTATCAACAATTCATCAGGGAAAACAAATGATATGATTCCACAACACACTTTTCTGGAATAAACTTCATTATCTTAGATGCTCATAAAAAAATAACAATATTAGAGTTGGCAGGAAATGGCCACAGCATTTATTAACAGATATGGTACATGTATATGTACTATTATATGAAATGCAATTTGTGATATGAACTAAAATTCACAGATAGAAATGCATATGTGTCTTTGAAAATGTTATATGATGATCGCCGAATATGTTCGAGGTGGCAGACCATATATGAAAAGGGAAAGTTCAAGATAAGCTATTAACCCTGGAAATCAGAGGCTAATGCTATCATACGATTTAAATAAGTCTGTAAACTGCAAATATGTTATCTAAGCGCATCGAAATCTGCCAAATTGACGGTGCTGCGACAATTTTAGCCTTCAATTAAAATTTTCGTAGAACCGTCAACCGCCAATAAATTTGGGGGGAGCTGCGCGTAGCTGTGCCATTTCAAGCAAAATTTTATTGAAAAATTCTGATAAATGAACAAAGTATAAATTGTTAGTAACAAGAAATTATTTACATTATTTTTAAAACAGCCTCAATAACGATGATGCTTCATTTAAACTACTCACCAAAATCATAATATGAGTAGTTATAATATTTACAACGAGGTAACTATAAAAATTCTTAGTGTAGAACAGTTGATTAGAAAAGTAATGCCACCCGTCTTACTAGAAATAATTGTTTCTAGGGCTCCCTGGATTATGTTCAGAAAAATTTCATTTCCTATCTTTCTTAAATGCACCCCATCGTCTGCTAGGAACTCATGTGTAGCTTTTATGTCAGGATATCGAATGTAACAGCCCAATGGAGCTGTTGAACCGACGCCTGCACTTGTCCATACAATTCCCATTGTTAGAATACCGCCACTGCAGTCTTGGCTACTTCAGACCAAATTAAAGTCGTTTCAGGCAATTTATTAGATAACAATGACATAAATTTAACAAGCTGGTAATGTAAGTAACCTAGTTTAATATTACCTATATCATTTCCTACAATAATATAGCTGGGAGGATCTTTAAATCTCAGCATTATTCTAATGCGACTCTTCGTCTTAGAGGGAGTTAGTCCACCGGTACCCTGCCACCACATATTCACTCCCAACCTATTCAAAGTCAAATTAGCTCCTCCCGGGGGTTGCCTTGCTTCCACAAACCCATTCTTTTTAATTGACGACCCAACAATCCAAACCCTTATAGGAGAATCTGAAACTTACAGTAATATACATGAACAATTAAACGGTTATTCGTATGTAACGCAAATATGCACCCGATTACCAACGACCTAAACCTTTAATCTTTTCGTCGGATAATCCTTTAATGGCACAAGCTGTAGCCATACCTATTCTGAATGAGTGAGACGACCAACGAGAATGTTCAATACCTAAAGCATGTAGTGACTTTTTGAGTATTGCAGAAAATTGCTATTAAGTCAAAGGTTTACCGTCAAAATGACAAAATAGCGGCCCAACTACTACAGGTCTATCTCGAAAATAGCAAGGCAATAAAACCACTGGACAAATACATTTGTCTAATTGCCCCCGGGATGTGTATAGTTACCCCTCTACCAAACTGATCGGTCTTTATAAAACCAAATGAATTTCTAAATAATTTTTGTAAATTTTGACATCATTCATGTTTAAAGCATGATTTGAAGAATATGTATTGCTCATATTTTGAACTGTCAACTCTCCAACCCTAAAAAGACCATGAAAGGCCAAGGAAAAAACCGCCTTGAATAGCCTAGCCTCGTATGCAGAACTGCAGATACTATTAGTTATCTTGGTGTAATCAGGGGTGTACAGAATTTTACACCGTTGTTGAAAATTCCGTACACCCCTGATTACACCAAGATAACGAATTTATTTTTATGAACAATTCCTTTATTCATTTTTAAATAGGAATGTAAAATTGAAAAATGCTAATGAAAAATTTCCAGTGTAAAATTTTTTCAACGTGGAAGTTGCTGCGCATTGTCAAATACTTTTTTTCTTTATTTTTGGGAAATTCAGAAAATTTTTGTGTTCTTTTGCATTTTTTGGGGAAAAAAAATAAATAAATTTCATGACAAAAAAAAAAAAGTTTTTTAAATTTTTTACAAATTTTTTTTTCAAATTTATTTATTTTTTACCATAACCTTAATCGAAAGTAAACCCCTCAAGCAGGAGCTTGGTATCTATCCTATTTTTTAATTCAATTTTGTTTATTGGAGTCCACCCTTTATCCCATAGGTGACGTATCAGTTTGGACTCTGGAAGCAATACAATCTAAATTCTATACAAAATTAACAATATAAACAATGTCATAAAAATTTAACTTGATATCTCTTTAAGATACAGACTACAGACAAACAAAAATCGTCACAACTGTAATTGCATTCTGCTAAAAATTACTTCATATATTGACCAGCATACAATTTCGTATTGATGGGATACTGCACCGAGTTGCTGCCACGTGCCTGAAATCTCGGTCTAAACTGAGGCCTAGGTTGCTGAAATCTTGCATTTCCGCCTGCCCTATTAGGAAAAAGATTTTGTCTGGGGCATTGAATAAGTGGGTGCTGATCAAAATATCTTAAACAAGAATGAGTATAAGAACATGATTGATTCACGCATTTACCGTGGTAATTGAATGCGTAACATTTAAAGCACCCCGTGCTTATTTGCGCATTACTAATAGCAGACAGAGGATACATATAGAGCAGCCATAGTTCAGGGTCAACAACAGCCCAAGAACCAGCTAGATCCTGTGACATTCTGAGGCGAAATTGTTCATTGTACGATTTCCACCCTAGTGCGCACCGCTTAGCGCCTAGCCGAATACTATGCATGTACTTGAATAATTCTTGAAAAACATGCGGATTTGTGACCGGATCCATAGACATAATCTCTGAACTGAGTGAAGTGGGTGCTACTGGACGCTCTGTAGATCTGTTAACACCCGCATCTCCACCAATTTTCGAACGCAAAACAGTTCTTTTTTTCCGCTGGAGCCACATTGTCGCCTCTTCCCTTAGGCGCCACCCTCTTCCTACCAGATGCCTTAAGCATTTTAAACTAAAAAAGACAGGCTATGATAAATTATATAAATATTTATATGATCATATATGATTTAAAGCAATGCAAAAGAAACAAAAAAAATCTGCTGATTCTGCTGTGGCCGAACGAGTCTCAAAGCACGAGAAAAAAATTAAAATTGATATTTGCCATCCACCTTAAACAAACAATATTTTGCTTTCTGTATTCAATAATCCAACTATCTTAGCAATTTAATGCGTCTTTTTCTTCCAAAATAATGTTAAATGAAGAAACTTATGCTAGATATAAACTAATTCAAAATGTCAAAAATGCATATCGAAAATAAAATTTAGAAATAATTAGATTTAGAAATAAACTATTTCTCTCAGAACGCAGACAAAGCCTGACCATGCCATGCCGTCTGCTGAGAATCCGAATTTCGCCCTGACGCTTCGACAATTGTAAAAGAGGGGCGAAAGATACCAGAGGGACAGTCAAACTCATAGATCGAAAACGCCATGGCTAAAAAATAAACACAAACAGACAAATAATAGTACACAAGACACAACATAGAAAACTAAAGACTAAGCAACACGAACCCCACCAAAAACTGGGGGTGATCTCAGGTGCTCCGGAAGGGTAAGCAGATCCTGCTCCACATATGGCACCATCGAGTCAAAATAAACGATAATCAAATCCCTGATAAAGATTTTTAGAAACACTTTAAAAAGAATTAAATTTTTAAACAACTTGTGTGTCAGATTGATGTAGATTTGATGAAGATATTTTCTGTGGCTAAAAAATCGTCTGCTTTTCCCAAATGTCGACGTCAAAAGGATGATTATGGGTAAATCAATCACTTGCGAAGATCGATAATCCAACTAAAAACCAAATATTATTAACTGACGAAGAAGTATAACGGACACGGTTGCATGAGCACAAACGAAAACTGATTTAAAATTTAGATGTTTAAATCCTATTAGGTGCGTAGTGACCAAAACATTTGGAAAGCCAAAGAATACTTAAACGTTTCACAGAAAAAAAAATAAGGGCATACATGACAGTGAAAATACCATTAAGGAATGAACAAATGGTATTTAAGTTCCTTATATTACATTTCTCTGACAGTCTTTAAAACTTGAATCTTTCCGTGAAACAAATCAACAAATCAACACATCTTGTTGTTCGTATTTATATTGGAAAATATCGCGACTGATTAATTATTGTTCCCTTAGCACCAAGAGGCAAATATATGAAAAAGGAAGTAGGTATACGAGACAGCATCAAAACGACACATATATTCAAAAATACTACAAGTCAGCATACAGTTTACAACAATAGACACGTGTCTTTACAATTTGTAAAGATCTAAATCGCCCTAAGTTGAATAGACTGGAATTTTAAAAGGTTAAACAGTTATACATATAAAAAGCATGCACTGCAAAGTGGGCCAACAATATTGAAGAGCGAGAAATGTAGACAATTACTGGAAAAAAAGTAATGGTTTCGATAGAGAGAATTTTGCCTTGAAAATGCCACCTATGAACCCCTCTTCGTTAAGTTTCTTAAACATGCAGCGAGTGAATTTCCCTCAATACGAAGTATTGTATTTAACTTCTCGTTCCAACCGGATGTGTCGCCGTATTCATAAATTCCTTACATCCAAACGGACAATGGGTCTGACTACTCAACGAAACAAGACCAGATAAACATTTATCTGTACTCAAAGCACTCATCGTTTCAGTCTGGTAGAATCAGTGGAAATGATTTCTTAAATAACAGTTCAGCCGTTAGTCGACGGCGATTGAATCTTTAACTGTAGCTCATAACTGTTTAGCAACACAACTACCTTTAGAGAGGGCATCTGTGGCCGAGTGGACTTAGTAGTTCATACACTGAGGTTGTGATTTCGAACCCCGCACATGGCAGCTAGGTCCGTTCTACTTCAATCTTAATTGGCTACGTCATTTGAACTCTGGTTGATAGTTCAATTGTCTCATTGGCAATCTCTTTATTTTCATTGGAGTGTCAGTTTTCCTGCCAAAGGGCAGTTACTCTTTCCGTGCACTCCGGCTTCCTCCACCAATCATAACAGACCGCCACAATATTGCTTATAGTGTTGAAAATGGCGTTAAACAACGACAATCAATCAACCATTAGAATGACATATTTGACTAACACAGGTTTTATTTCACATGTGGTATTAAAAGAAAGATAACTCTAAATATTTTTTTTTTCATGTTTTGTCGATGGTAAAACAAAACGAAAGAGCTACTCAATAGATAACATTAACTTCTCACAGAAATGCAAAAGCATTTGGTATACAAATCATTTACTAATGAATCGTAATTCAGTGTGTGTATAATATTGAGACAAATATACGTATCTGGATCGTTTCGACTCTACTTTCATTCAGGAAATTTTCCTGATAATACTGATTGTGTTCTTTAAATAAGATGCTTTTTCCTGAGAATCTTAACATTCAATTTGATTCAATTTCATTCCTTAAGTATAGATTTTAATGTAAGAAAATACCAATCTCTTTAATAATCAGCCACCATGATTGTTCTTTGGTAACTACTATTTTTAAACAGGCTATTTTAAAATTTGTTAAACTGTTCATGTGGTCAACCTTTATACTGCCGTTCTTGAACGAACCTAACGTCAATGTATTATAACATTTTATACTGTTTGTTCTTAATATTTGAACACTAAGACATGCTTCTAATCGTGCATGCTCTAATTTATCATTCGGGTGTTCTCTAGATCCGGTTACAACTATCACTTTTGTAATACTTTGTGGCTCATCGAATAGTATATGTACTGAATCATTTACTTGTGGTGCTGACTGAGACCAGAAGTATCCATAGTCTGCCGAATAAGCTAAGTCTAACGGGAAGTCTGGTGACACCTTTAACGTGGTAAACAACTTAGCAGTCGGGTTATCACCCTTTATTGATTTTTCAAAATTATCAAAATATTTGTCAGCTGCATTCATAGTTTTTCCAGGAAGAGAAGAATGATATCCCACGTGGCGGAAAATTGTTGGTCGACGAATTATACGCTCTCCTTGAAGATTTAAATGGTTAAAATACATAAACAAAAAATCAACGGGTTGTTTATCATAAAACATTAAAATAGTTTTTGCTAGCTTTTCTAATTCTTTAGAATGGAATACTTTTCCGATAAATCCCATTGTTGAAAATTCTAAACATGTCCAATCGTTCTTTTGTTCTGCTATAAATTTCTTAATGACATCTAAGTAACCTGATATTGTGAATACGTCGTCTTCTATTTGCATATAAAATTTCGAAAGGTCTGCACTATAGAGCCATAAAAATGCATAATCAACATTTTGTTTTGATCGCCATTTTGTTCTTTCCTCGCTATCGTTAAAAGTGTGTTCTAGATTATCTAATTTAGGATAAAAATCTTTTTGTGCTTCTATGACATGCATAATACCATTATTTAAAAGATTTTCGTATTTATTTCGTATCTTAGTTGCCATTTCCTGCTTCCATGTATTGTTAAAGTCTGCCAAGAAAATTACAATAACAATGTCTGACAGCTTAGCATCAGTTGTACAGTTGAGAAGTGAATCTACGGTTTCGAAAAAATAACTGGTCTTTTGTCTTCGCACGGTGGGAATTCCTATTGTTAGATATCCTGTAAAGTTAAAACATAAACACATCATGTAAAACCTTATCAGGGAAATAGTCTTATTATTTTTTACATATATTTCCATTTCAAATTGTATCTATAAAACGCATAATTCAGTTTGATAAAGTTAGAAAGAAATATTTATAAATAGCACATGATTTCAGAAGAATTTAAAATCTTAACAAATGCAATTGTATAGAAGTAACTAAGATGTGCAAATGAGACATGTAATTTATAGATCTTAGGATATCACTTTAAATTGAAAGCTAGTGATGCACGTGACTGTACTTACAAAGGAAAAGATCGCTGTGAAAAATGAGAAAAAAAAAATTACATTTTAAAGAAAGAATTCAAAGAGATATATTGAACCGAATTCATTGTTCTATTATTGATCATTCATTACCTACAGCTTGCATGACAAAAACATACATGTATATTGTATATATACAATAAAACTTACTGAATGAGAGGCATTGTCAGGTTTGTTTTCGACTTATGAGTTTGAATATCCCTTCGGTATGTTTCGCCTCGGCAAAAAAACGAAGAACGACGAAAGGACAAACCACAGTACAAAAAACACAACATAGAGAACAAAAGACTGAGAAACACCAACCCCGCCAAAAACCGAGAGTGATCTCAGGTGCTCCGGAAGGGTACTGTAACGTATATAACAATGATTGTGATTACAACATTCAGTTTGGGTTTTGACGCACAGTAAAATAATTGATGTGGCCGAAACATTACACGTCATTGTCGGATTTTTCTTCTAAAAAAACATTTCTATGAAAAAAAATCAGTCCTCACAAACCATTAGACCAGCGTAACCATAAACCTATAGAATGTAACTTGTATAATTACTTGGTAATGTTGGTCTAGTTTTAAACATCTGTGCGTGTTGTCTCCAGTTAGTCTGTTGTCCTGGCTGCATAGAAAAAAATATACATATATAAAACATCGTTTGTTATTTATCCAAAGAATATGTAACAGGATATAAAATCGCAAAAAATCGATCTGAACATTCCATTGAAGATTTATTATCAACCTTGATATAAAGATTTTTTTATTACAAGCAATCACGTAAAATTATATGTATGATTAAAGTTATCGATTTCAATTGTCTACACTATCAACATGTTAGATCTTTTTTTTGTAATGTCTGGTTTTATTATTTTTTTCTTCTTCTCATTTTTAGGAGTGTAGAATGAAAATAAAACTAAAACCTGTATTTATTACAAAAGAACAAAACTACAAATAAAAAAGTGTGTTTTGTCAGACAAATATTTCTTTTTCAATTATTTTTTTGCGTTTGTATTTGTTTATTTATAATTTAATGTTTTTTTTTTGTTTTGTTTTATTCAATTCTCCCTCTTTTGGTATAAGATTATACATCCTCAAACTTTAATAAGAAATATCGTCAATTGATAGTTCTAAACAGTTACTGGGTAATTGATTAATTGATTGATTGGTGTTTAACTCCACTTTCAACACTATTGTGCTATTTCGTGGCGGTCAGTTTTAATTGGTGGAGGAAGCCGGAGTGCCCGGAGAGAACCGCCGACCTTCGGTAGGAAAACAAACAATCCTAGTCAATTAAGATTGGAGTCGAGTGCACCTGCCACTTGCGGGATTCGAAATCCCAGCTCCAGAGTTGACAGGCTAGTGATACAGTAGTTCGACTATTTAGACCACTCGGCTACCGAGGCCCCTACTGAGTAATACATGTCTATATATATGTATACAAGATCTTAAAAATTCTAACACGAGTTGTGAAACTATGGTCAGTGATTTTATCTCAGTTTCTCATCAGATTTTAGGTATTAATATAAAAATAAGGAAATTTGGTATGATTGCCAATGAGACAACTATCAACCAAAGTTCAAATGAAGTGGATGTAAGCAATTATAGGCAACCGTGCGGCCTTCAACAATGAGGTAAACCCATAAAATGAAAAATATGAAACAATTCAATTGAGACAACCACTGAACTACAAGCTCCTAACTTGGGACAGGAACATATAGAATGTGGCGGTGTTAAACATGTTTGCTGGCGCCAAACCCTCCCCCTCACCTGAGACAGTGGTGTAACAGTACAACATAAGAACAAACTTAAGAAAAAATATATGTTGTCATTTCTACTGATTTGATTCAAGGTGTTATTGCTTTGTCCGTTTATGGCTTGCTATATTAAATAAAGTTTCGCAAAAAATAATTTTGAAGTTAAAAAAAAAGACACCAAAAGGGTGTCTTCTTAAAGTCAAAACACGGGGTGACATAGCTATTTAGCATTATTATCCTAATTATCAAAACTACGTATAGAAAGAAAGGTTGTTGGAAGAGATGATGATAACTATAGTCATAAGGAAGATTGAGGAATATTTTCATTGCACGAGCGACTGTTTGTTCATAAAAAAAATCGTTTCTTTCAACCTCTCATAGGACATATATTTTTATCTATCTTCCAATTTTTATTACATATATACATGTACTATCTATAAGAAACCGGGGATTCATTCCCAAATTCTGTCAATACTTTCAAATAGGCAACCGATATTATCCCGTGTCGTCTACTGATGACTTTTGTAGTCTAAACCATCTTCTCACTCACGCTCAGTGGTCAACTCTTGCAACACTGTGAGTGCGTTTGTATTTTGATGTCTCTATCGCTTTATTATTATTTTTTTCTGCAATCCATGAGCAAATTATTTGTTAGAATAAAATCTTACAATAATTTCGCTTTCTAAAAATATTTTTAAGAAAGAACTTATAACCAAGACTTACTATTTTCAATAACTCTCTTGTATTGAAGTGTAATCCTTCCTGACTGTTTTCCATTTGATTTCCTGTAATGATATTCGTGTGCATATATAAATATAGATATCTATTTTGTCTGAATATGTGTATTTGAGAATTAGTTGTTGCTGAACTAGTTGGGATTTATCTTATCATAAATGGGGTCAGACTATTTATTTCAAAACGCGCAGGCTTTCTGCAACTACCAGCCCAAATCGATTCCCTGAAGAATAAAGTATCCCGCGGAAAACTGATATTTTTAACAATTTTCAATTTCAAGGGGACACAACCTTCTGTAAAAAATGAAAACAACGCTTTATAAATTTCATGAGTCCGAAGCGTTCATCAGGAACAGCCATATATTTGTAAAATTGCTCAACCTGGGAACGAAACTCAATCGTCCACTTTCTACGATTATACTTTTTACTGAATATCAACCGGGGTTGTCAATTGATTCAGGAGTTACAGACAAAAATCATACAAAGATGTTTTCAAGCAATTTTCCACGTTCTCATATCTCAATTCCCGCGAAAATCACAGAAAAAAGTTAACTAAAACGATATTCAAACTAAGCTACTTTTTATGAGATGAATTTATACCGACAACATATAATTTCAAACAATTTCTCATCTCCAAGGGTCATAACTAACTATTAAAAATACCAAATATTACTAGATTTAACCGTTAAAAATTGCAGGAAACTTAGACTAATTGTGACGGACTGAAGGAGAGGAGTGTTAACCTAAAGCCGCTTTCGGCTTCGCCGGTAGTGGACTATAAAGTGAAATTTTCATTATCAAAGTACATAAAAGTTATTATTTGCCGACTTTCACTGTTCCAATTAGGGCCTTCATTATCTTTACACTCTTAAATTATTACTACATTTTCATTCACAAAAGGCTGCTTGTGTATCTCATCTCGAGCGTAAGGGTGATAATAAAAAAAAATGAATCTTGAATTCGTATCAAACGTCTATAGTACTACCGCTGGGCTCGAAACCGTTGCATGTAAACAATCTCATATGGTCCTATCCGCCATGTGTACTGACACGAGATAAATTTCAGTTTTACAAACTTTATTTATTGCATATTTGTAATATGAAACTAAGATATTCTGTATGTAGACCCTTCTTTGTTTTGATCTACCTTACAATGTGTAAGATAACATAAGTTACTTTTGTTCCAATTAAAGGAAAGTAATTTACTTCATTGATTTACATAATTGAAAAACACAATAATTTTGGCAATCATATAGAAATGTATAATCATCTAATATAGAATGGGCTTTATCTTCAATTTTATCAATCCAACGTGCATTTTTAAGATAACCTTTGCGATCTATTTATATAATTTTTTTGTATGCATACCTATTTGTCTGTATCCTAAGGGAGTGTGGATTTATGCTGATCTTGCATTGTGGTTGGCTATTTATGAATTCTCTTAGTTCCTAATATTTTTCTTAACCAAAACTCTTTTTACAAGAGAAATAAATTAGGAGTTAACCCTTATCTGATTAAAGTGGCTGTATTTTTTATAAGATCTTCCTATAATTCAGAAAACTTTAGCATAGTTTATCCTTAACTATATTGCATAAGTGATCCACGTTTATAAAGTCTGATAAGGTTAGTACTTTCAATAAATCTTTATACTGGAAACCCTGTTGTAATATAGTTCAAGTGTAACTCATTATTGCAAATATGTTCATCATATAATAAACATCCTTTGTATTTCCTAACATGTGAGCATAATTATTTTATGGGAAACAGAGACGGAAGATACCGAAAGGGGAATTGAAACTCAAACGTCGATGAAAAACTGACAACGCCATGGCAAAAAACGAAACACGATAGAAAGTCAAACAACAGTATACAAAACACAACATAGAAAACTAAAGACTGAGCGATACAAACCCCACTAAAACTGGGGGGATCTCAGGTGCTCCGGAAGGGTAGGCAGAAATCATTCTATCTCAGACATACTGCAAGATCACTTGCTAACCTGTATATCCCAAGCATATATTTCATAAATTTTGTGTGGAATTTTGCAGATATATTTTGAGTAAACATTTTCTGAAATGTAATCATTCTGTATCTTTTCTGAAAATGAACAGGCATTTTGTTGAATTTTGCTTCAAAATTTCAGTCACTTTACAAAATGACTAGGTATTTTTAGTCATTTTATATAATGCCTGTCAAGGTTAGGATTTTATATTTTTTTTAATCTGTTATTTAACGAAATAACTTTATAACTTTATTGCAAAACATGAAACCCTGGCGGGTTAAAATGCAAACATAGTACATTGTATACACAAGTGACAAGAAACATAATACATGATAAATGTTTAAAACAAGTCAAGTTGATATTAATAATAATATATATATATATATATATACGCAATTCCATAGATTGCTTTATATAGTCTACAACACTAGACAAAATATCTTTATTTGGATCTAGAATAGTTTTAAGTTTAGAGTTTGAGTCAAGCTGGTTAAAATTAGGATAATGGGTTTTAATTGCATTTATAAGGGAATGTCTTACATTACTGTTAATTTGGCAATGAAGGAAAAAGTGTTCCTCATCATCTAAAATTTTACAAACTTTGCACAGCCTGTGTTCTCTTTGATTTTTTTTATAACGTCCTAATTCAATTTCCAAATTATGATCACTTACACGTAATTTTGTTAAAAGTTGACGACTATTAAAATTGTTTAGATTGTGCAAGTAGTCCTCCAATTTAATTTCATTTTTAAGTTTACTATAAAGATAAAGTTTTGAACTGTTATCAATATTTGAAAGTTTTTAAAGAGTGATGTTATTATACTTTTCCTTCACAATATGTTTAAAAGTTTTTTTGAGTGATTTTTTTATAAGTTTAAAAGGTTTATCAAAATCAACATATTCTTCTTCATCAATATTAAATTCTTTAAAAATATGCTTGGCAAAAGTATACCAAGTATATATTCCATCTTCAGACATAGACTTATTTACTGCAAAAGCTTCTCTAACAAGAGGGTTTATTTCATGGCAGTTTATTCTACAAAAATATAATAAAACTTGAGTTTTAATAAAGGAGTCAAGCGGAAATCGTCCTAACTCAGACTTTGCAGCTATATTACATGAGGTTTTTTTAATTCCAAGAACAGTTTTACAAAATTTATGATGCACTTTCTCAAAGCTGAATCTATCTGCCAATGATAAAATATCACAGTTAGTTCCATGCAAAGTGGCTCTATTTATGGCTCTAAAAATTGAGTAATAATCTTCCATAAACCAGATCTCGCTATTATATAAAATTATGGGTTTAATTAGTGAATCAAATAATTTACATGATAAATCAACAGGAACATGATGAAAATTAGACATATATTTTTTTAATGAAAATAACGCTTTAAGCGCTTTCTTGGATAGTTCATGTGTAGATCTCTTAAATTTTGCTTTATTATCAATAATGTTCCCAAGAAAATTATACTCTTTAACTTCAGTTAACTGATTTTGTTTATAAAAAAATTTTGACTCAAAAGAATTTCTAGAATGAAAAATCATAATTTTTGTTTTATTTGTATTTACAGTCAGTTGCCATTTGTAGCAATATTTTTCCAGTTTATTCAAAGCAGATTGTAAACCGTTTTGTGATTCTGATAATATTAAAAGATCATCAGCAAAACTAAGACTACTTATTGATGTTTTATCTAAGGACACAGGATCACATGTCCCATCAAAAATTGAATGGAGATCATTAATAAAACAATTAAACAATGTGGGGCTCAAACTGTCCCCTTGTTTGACCCCTTTATTTATTTCAAAAAATTGAGATTGTTTATTATCTATTTTAACTGAAGATTCACAACACTTATATATATCTTTAATTACTTCAAATATTTTCTTTCCAACATCATCCTTTTTTAATTTGTATAAGAGACCAGCATGCCAAACGGTGTCAAATGCACGACGCAAATCAACAAAGCAAGAGTAAATTTTACTCTTCTTTTTTGTCAAATATTTTATTATTAAAGTTTTTAGAATAAAAATACTATCTGCTGTCCTATGATTATTTCTAAATCCAAATTGATGAACTGAAAACTTTTATTCATAATAAGTTACAACTCTAGAATTAATAACAGCACTAAAAAGTTTAGCAATACAATTTTGAAGGGAAATTCCCCTATAGTTATTAATATCTAGCTTGTCTCCAGCTTTATGAATAAGTATGGTAAAAGATTTTCTCCAGTTTGATGGATATTTACCAGAATCAAGAATTAAATTAAAAAGCTTAGTAATAGCTTTACAAGTAACAACACCACTATATTTAATAATTTCATTAGAAATTTGATCTGGACCAGAGCTTTTCCCAGTTTTTAATTTTTGTATACATTTATTTACTTCATTGATAGTAAAAGGTTTATCAGTTACCTCATTGAATGAAAGTGCATCAGTTTCATTTAATATATCGGTTTCAATTTTAGTTTTAAATTCTTTATCATAGTTTACAGTCTCTCCTTGATGCTTAAAATGATCAATAATTTCTGGAAAACCAGCTTGAAGCTCAATTTTATTATTAGTGTTCTCATATTTTAATGATTTTAATAATTTCCAATATTGTTTAGGGTCTGTATCTCTAAGGGCTGAAAGCTTACTAAATATTTCCTTTTTAAATTGATTGTTCTTTCTTTTTATTAATTTTTTACATAGTTTACAGTGACCAAGAAAATTATTTTACAAAATGCCTAAATTTAGAAAATGCCTGTAACATATATATATAGGTTCCCACCTGGGCTCTGTAATAACCTTTTATAACTGACTATGTGGTATGGATTTTGCTCATTGTTCAAGGCCGTGTGGTGACTTATAGTTGTTATTTTTATGTCATTTGGTCTCTTGTGGAGAGTTTTCTCATTGGCAATCATACCACATCTTCTTATTTTTTCATATAAAGATGTAAGTTGAAACGCTATAGAATGTTACAATGCTGGTCATAGCTGCAATTCAAAACAAGCTTTCTTTGTTTCTTGTATAACTCATCATTACACTGTGTCAAGGACGTATATTAGATACGTTAGTTACAAATCCGTGACCGTAAATTAACCACTTAATAGATAAAATGTTATTTAGGTGCTTTTATTGATAACACAAATAAAATAATTCTTCCCATTTATTTCAGAAAGTCAAAGATTTAAATGCCTTCTTTTTCGCTATTCGGTTATAGTTCAACGTGTCAAAGTTGTGTGCAAAGTTTTTTTCCCCCAAAATCTGTTACATAGCAAATCACTTTTATCAATTAACCGATATTATAGATCCTTCCACAATTACCGAATGAAGAATATAAAAAGAAAGTACAGTATAGCAAACCCCGCATATACTCTAATAACAGCCATTTAGCATTATATTTCCACCTATAACGTGCTCTTTAACATATTTGTTCAAATCTTTTTTATTTCCCTGTCACGGCGGAGGGGACATAAAGTGTTACCTTTGATTGTCTGTACGTCCGTCCGTCCCAAAATTAGTTTCCGTTTTCTAACTTTAATTAGCCTTTACCAAATGTTATGAAACTTATACTCAATGCTTGTTACCATAAAACACAGATCAAGGTCGAATAGGGGTGGCGTCACTTTTACAGACCCTTTATAACGTTATATGCAAGCGGGGGAATCATACATCTGTGTCCCACAGACACATTCTCCATTTATTTTTTTGCTCTCTAGATATTTAATTATGGATTTATACTTTTGTATTAGTACTTTCCTTTCAATGGCCCCGTAATTACAGTACCGTAATTTCCAGTAATACAATATAGCAAAACATTGACAATACTATAAAAACAAATAGTAAGAATTTAATGCCAAGTTATGCCATTAAACCGACAAACACATAATTACAATATTACCAGGAAGTATACTTAAATAAAAACATATATATACAACTGTGTATTTTACCTGATGTTTGTCTTCATTAGTTGACAATTCATGTCCATGATATTGATAACCCATATACATTATTTCTTTGACAACACTTCAAAAGAATTATGATGCTCATAACAATATACGCATAAATATGTTATTATTTATTACCTTGATCATACAAAAGTGTGGTAAAGATGACAGATAATATTGACAAGGTTGTTGCATTTTGAACATACATATCACGTTATATAACACGAAAATGTACGTGATTTTGTTTTAGTTTCATTCTCCAATGTATGTATGTACTTCGAGATTCCGCCAGTGTAGACGCACCCCTTGATTGACTGCAAGGGTACAGCGGATCCATGTACACTCCCTAAGGATTTTTTTCCTGAGAATTAAATGTACCTTAACAAATTTAAAAAGTTTGAAATTGACGTCGTTTTTTTCTGTTTTCCGCAGGCTTTCTCCCATTTCCATCAAACTAATGTATTACTAGTGAGTGATATCTTTTTTTTACTTTCGATACAGTATGTAGATACAGGAAGATGTGGTATGAGTGCCAATGAGACAACTCTCCATCCAAGTAACAATTTATAAAAGTAAACCATTATAGGTCAAGGTACGGCCTTCAACACGGAGCATTGGCTCACACCGAACAGCAAGTACATTTTACCATTGATCACCGATTCTTTTCATATTTCACTGACATCCAAAAAAAAATAAGGAGAAGTGGTATGATTGCTAATGCCAGAGACAACGATCTAATAAAGACTAAACGACAAGAATCCGTAAGGCCTTATATATAATATTAAAGACCCAGGGATGACAATATAGGAAACAATTCAAAAGATAATTCAAACTTAAATAATAAACGAAAAAACAGGTATACATTACTCAACCCTCCCCTTACCTGGGAAAGTGGTGTAACACTCAAGCAATAGAAAAAACTCTTAAAATTAACTGAAAAGGGGATATACTACAGATCGGTACTTAGCACAAAATACAATTAACAAATGACAAAACACAAAGTATTGCAGATACTGAAATATAGTTCAAAACCCAATTTCAACTAATAAATACACCATTTTTCCAAGACTAAAATATCTAACAGATGATTCAAATGAATTAAGAAAAGATGCTATAAATTAAAGTGTTATCATTAAGCCAAATGAGTTGCCCAAATTCTCCTGTAATCAAAAATGCTAACAGTTAGCTTTTTTTTTATTTCAAATGCCAATTTATTCATTTGGTAACTGATGCTAACTTACAGCCTCGGTGGTCGAATGAAGGAACTCACGATCTTTGTTTCGATACCCAATTGGGTCAAACTATAGATTGAAACGTTTAAGTTTGCTGCTTTTAACCTGAGGACGAGACTTTAAGGAGTAAGAGCAAAGACTATTACGGATAATGTGCCCAGTTGGATGACCTGTTTTCTTGTGGACTAAGATTTTAGACCCGGCTAGGCATGTTGGTCAAAGATTAAAAACAGTTTTTATATTATATTTAATACCATGATCGCATCAAATACGCAGGTAATATTTTCCCCAGACTTTAAAACTCCTTTGCAGGGCTATGGAACTTACATGTGTTAGAAAGATCATTATGGCCAAAGGGACACTCTCATGACCACTTAAAATTCCCAGCCGGAAATTATAAAGAAATTCCTTTAATCTTGCTATTATTCATACAAACGCTCTGCAACACGTAAGATCCGATACATAACAAAAGGGATGGACTGACTTAATACTAGTAATTGTTAAAACACGGTCTCCGTCTACATTAGTTTTGAGAAGTATTATATTTAACCACAATAATTATATTAACGTTCTTACTTGTGAAAATAAAGAATTGCAAAGACAAGTAAGTGTCTTGTTATTGCAAAAAGACGTACATGTAAGTGTTTCGCATATCGTCAAACCACACATCGAAGTGCAGATCCCGTTACACATTGTTTACACTAATCTATAATTCTAAACGATCATATTATGGTACAATATGATGTTGCTTATTTTTCTCCCATGTAAATCAGATTAACTAAAGAACTTACCCCTTTTTGATTTTAAAATAAAGAATTCCACAACAATGATACAGCATGCTAATGAGAGGCCATATAGTTTATATTTTTTCCAAACCCTCATGACTGATTATACGACCTTGTAATTCCGGAGATAGCATTATCAGGTAAATCGAGTCAATCATAAAAACTTATGTCAAATGTCATGTTCTCTTCAACGTTAAGAAATCTGAATTCCGTTCGATCCTCATTTGAACATGATAAACATGGCAACATCTGTTTAAACAATTGTGCATGTTTATTTTGAATTACTGTGTATGATACATTTAATCAATAAATCATTTTTTAAGGAAGTGAACCATGAAACAGGTATGCCATGATGTAATTTTAGAAATCAAGTTTGTAGCTATTTATACAGTGCATTTTCAACTACATGTTAATCATTGATTTCATTAATTTCATTTTTTTTTTTATTTCAGAACAGTTTCAAGGTTTAACTTTTTAAGATGTTTTATGAGGAAATAAAATGTAAATAAAGATTTAATCATATCGCTGATCATCGCTGGTTGTAAGGGCGGAGGAAATAACGTGTCTGTATAAATTTGATTATGCATATAAATCTAAATGTGTACTTATACATCCTATATGTCAAAATATTACCGAAGAGAACATAAAATACAGTACATTTTGCATTTTTTCTGTTGATGCCATCTGGGTAAATACAAAAAGTTAATGTTCGGAACTTCCCGTATCCAAAGTCTTTCCTAATCCTCACTCTAGGCAAGGAGATCATACAACCTCCTTGCTCTAGGCATCATTCCAATGATTGATCTGTTCAATCACAAGAACTTTCAAGCGTTTGCAGACATTGAGGCTGTTGGTGGTCCGACTGTCTCTAGTGTTTGCTTATTGAAATATATGGCTGCTTTTTTATATCACTACTGTATCATGCATTCAACAGTAATGCCAACCAAGGAAACTACATGCAAAGTGTATTACCTGGACTGGACTGGACTCTTGGATTGGATTGGACTGGACTGGACTGGACTGGATTGAATTGGAATGGACTGGACTATCGCATGTTTATTTTTTCTATAACATGCATTTATTTTTTATTTGTTTATTTGTTATCTTCTTGTTCATTACGACTGTACTTTATGCTTCTTTATTCAATAATAGAATTTTAATTTATAATCTTGTCTGTCAAAAGAAGTTGTATTGATTGATGACATTTGCGCTCATTTATTTTACAGGTAAAGTCAGGTAAATACAGATAATAATACTTATTTATTTATTTATCTATTTAACTATTTACAAGTACCCCTTCCGTTAGCCTAGCAGTTATGTTGGCTGTCGCTTTTTTCTTTACAACCGCACGGATAACCTGAATCTCAAGTTTTCTAGAATCGGATTCATGTGTATGTTCACAGTTACTATTTTGAATGGCTGTTGAATGTTCATCAGTTTTGATCCTGCCTTTGTCATTATTAACAGTGCATTGCCATGAAATATTCCCTGACTAAAGTGTTCTGTCGATTTGTTTCTGACAGTTATAATTGTTAACATGAATTAAAAACGACGATACGATACGAAACGAAAGCTTTATCTAAATTCGGTGTAGTTATCAACTACAAAACATAAGGTTTAGAGAGATTCAACCGAATATATACAAACATGAAAAACTCAGTCGTGCAAGCAAACACATACCCCGGTATGAGATAAAGCACACATAAAAGTAAATTTAGCACAAACATTACAGATCAAAATACACATGCTAGCATAACTATAAGAGAGCAAAGTAGAGTAAAAATAATCACAGGGAAAATAAAATGAAATGAAATCTTATCTTATCTACATGCAGAACAGCGACATTCCGAGCCATTCCAGGATTGTATAAGACTCTTAAACTGAGAAAACTGTTATCCGTTCTGAAATGGCCTAGAAGACTTTTCCACAATGTTGCAGCAGCTAACAAAGAAAACTGAAGACTAAGCAACACGTACCCCACAAAAAAACCGGCGGTGACCTCAGGTGCCCCGGATGGGTATGCAGATCCTGCTCCAAATGTGGCACCCGTCGTGTTGCTTATGTAAGTACACATCCGGTGATAAGTCTAATTCGGAAGGTCACATTCAAGTAAAAAAGGACAGGATTGTGGTTACAACAATTTCAACATATCCGTCGTCAACTGTGAAACAGATATTCAATAACGGTCAACCAACACGTGATGGCGTCCATAAAATTTGCGAAGGGATGATTTCAACGTCACCAGTTGGAAATCTAGGTTCAATAGCTTCCTTGTTAGCAACAATCCTCTATCAAGGAAATCATAGTAGGAAATGCAAGCTCTGGAATATCGTATCAATTGGGAAATATGTACTTCATATGCAGGTGTTGCTTGAATGTTGCTACATAGAAATGGAAAGTTCACAATTGGGAAGCTAAAATCTTCTCTTTTGTCGTAAAGGTATTTTTGCTGAGGTGATTTGAAGAGTCATATACATGTATCACATCATTGCCGATTTTATTGGAAACAGTAGAGAAAAAAGCATTATTAAAATGTTCTGATACCTGTTTAGTATCATTAATGATTTAATTATTTTCTAATAAAACTACTCGTTGTCCTCCAGGTGGCACTTTTTTCTCTAAAAAGTTTAATTGTTGACCAGAAATTGTCATTTTTGGACCCACCAGAGCAACGTTCTCAGAAATAAATTTTGATAGATTTCTTTTTAAGCTTAGTAAACAAATTTCGCTTGTTTTTTTTTAATTTCGTTGCTTTTTATATTAAACCCCCCCCCCCCCCCCCCCCCCTTTTTATAAATGGCTGGGTCCGCCCCTGAAATATTGAGGTCTCTTTAGTCTGCATCAAACATGTGAAATTGTGCTATTCACTATGATTCATAACAGTAAAGAAAAAAACCTGAGGAACATAAATACTGTCAAACAAAGTATAATGTCTTGGTCATTTCTTTACAGCTGTATTGTTGTCAGTTTTATTACTAAAAACTGAACTGTAACGATCACATCGGATATAGATTATATCCAGATTTATCGAAGCATCCTTTTAGTATAAATAGAAAACCAAAACGGTTGACTGGGGTATAGGGAATATGATGATGCCTTGGTCTTCTTTCGACAGGCAGTAAAACTCTTGCCAAAGTTGGTTGTCCGTTTTGTTGTACAGCCATGTCTGGTCAGAATTGGTACGTTAATTACGATGCCTCGTGTAGAAAGAGTGCCATGCTGTCTTCGCGTTAAGACTCCTTGCAAAAACTCTTTGAGGGTTCCGTATGCCTGCTTGGCACGGCAAAATCTCTGTAAATATACCCTAATTTTCCAGCGACATTCCATTGCCTGCCCTTCATCTCGGTCTTTCCTTATTACAGAACCTACCTTTTGTATTACTTATAATTTGTTCTCGTTCTGAACATGCATGCACTATTTGCCACTTGGCGTTAAGGTAATTTAAAGACCAAATAACATTGTTTTTTTCTTAAAATTTTGTGTTAAGGTATTTTATGATTTTGAAACAAGATGGGATGAAAAAATTGGGTGGTCGCAGACTTCGTTTGTGTAGCAACTACAGTTTCGTGTTTTCCCTCAGTATGAACTGATTATTTGGTTGTTATTTAAAACTTCAAACAACATCAATCAATCAATCATATAAATAGATAAATTTCTGATTGATAAGATTATGTTGTAGTGTAATATACAGAGTAGATAAATCATAAATTTCAACAGAGACAAACTGACCTTCAAGGAAGGGTAGCGTATCCAAAACTTTAGAAGAGTTGTTACATGTAAGAAATAAAATTGCATTTTCACAATAATTTGAAAACGAGTTTCTGACCGGCTGTAGAAGCACTATTCAGAAGAACCAACATTATGTGCAATTCTTAACTGGATGCAGAGTTGGTCTGTTAAGATGTCGATGCGTCAATTGAACTTTTTTTCTAAGTTTCCTTTACAAAAATCGGATGAAAGGGGACTGACGCTCGAAATTCGAATTTTTAGAATTCGTGTATCTATGATACATATAAATGTAGAATAACATCAAATTAAAAACAATATTGAAGTCTGTGAACTCTCAATTTATCACAAATACTCATTATTTTTAATAGGTTACAAATATGCTAATTTAATTGTATGTGATAAGAGGTAGAATTAACTGACAAGCAAATAAATGGGTTATCACAGCGTTATGGATATACATGTAAATCAAGAAGATTTTACTGGATTTTTAAAGTCAATATTCAGTATTTTCACTTTTAATCGACAGTCACTTAAAACTGGAAAAAAGAGTGGGATAAAAACTATTGAGAATGGCGGACTTGGGAATTTCCCCCTCAAACACCCCATCGGTCTATATTCTTTGTGGTAATACAATCGTATCGATAAAATTCTTACTTTCAGATTCACGGCAAAAAATCTTAAAGAAGATGGGGGGGGGGGGGAGGGTGTCTAAATTAAAAATCCATAAAATTCTTTAATAATTTGTCAAAATTTATAGTTTATATCATGCTTTTTTCAAAAATTAAAAAAAAAGTATGGGTCACCGGGATTTTTTTTCTCGCTACAGGTTGTGCAAAATTGTCAGAATTTGTATAGATTATGCATGGAAACCCCAATTTTTTGTGATAAAAAGAAAACTATACCATAGAATTTTAAGATAAAATATGAGAAGTTAGCTCTAATAATATGTTTTCAGATAAGAAAACGAAAAAATGGGGTCACCGGACTCGTTTTCTTATTACATAATGAAATAGGTAAATTTCCAGCACATTCTATTATAAAGTTACTGTATCTGAGCTATCTCCCCGTATATCTGAGTTATCTCTCCTTATGTTGCAAAGTTGGAAAAAAATGAATCAAACAAAAATATTCTGTTTTTTGTAAAGTACAGCCGTAAATATGATAAAACACATAATTTTCTATATTAACATGAAAAGTCTTGCACATGAATTTCATACTTCTCTCGAAATTTGCACATTATATTAAAGATCTAGACCGATTGTTATCTGCTATTTCAAAATCCAAGATGGTGGAAGACACCCCAGCTACCTTAAGAAACTAAGTGAAGCGTGCTAAACTTTAAAAAGTTTAAAAGATTACAACCGATACTAAAACCATCTTTGAGTGAAATACTATCTACTACAATTTATGTTCGAGACTGTTTCATGTATGGCGATAGATCAGGGTATATTATAAGTTATCTACGTTCATATCCGTAGATATGGATATTTTAACACCCTGAAGTATCCAAGTACACCCTGAGGCGAAGCCGAAGGGTGTACAAGGTACTGAAGGGTGTTAAGATATCCATATCTACTGATATGAACGTAGAT